TTCTAATGTTTTTTGAAACCCATAATGATTGAGCAAACCCGGAAAACTAAGAACATCAACCCAAAAACCTAGAAAACCAAATGCCAAGATTACTTCCTTTTACTTGCTCTATTCTGATTTTCCCTTTCCTCTCTCGATTCCCCCTCTCTTTGACCTCTAAACTACTCCAATTTATACCCAAGTTTTGCTAACCAAAACTAATTTTTCCTCTCTTTCCTTCATTGTTAATTGTTTAATTGAAACCCCTCTCTCTCTCCATTATGTTATTTCCTAATGCTCTAATCCTCTCCATTTTTTTTTTACGAGCACAACTTGTGAATCAAGTAAAGATGGATCAATGAGCTAGTTAAGGGAATCAAAACAGTTAGAAAACCAAGAAGGATCGAAACCATTCTTGGTTTTTCAATGCGAGAAACAGATGAACAAACATCCATTATCTCGGCTATAAATTGACAAAACAATCGTCCCACTTCCCGAATTTTTTAATCATGTCCTCCGATTCCTTTCGATTATTTCCTAATTCATCTTGATTTTTTATTCAATTTATCCTCTATTAGCTTCCAATTTATCCATTCATCAATTTTGTATTTGATGTATTTTTTATTTTTTTATTTGCATTTTTTATTTCTTTTTTAATAATAAGTACTAAAATAAAATAAATAAAAATAAATACATAAAATAAAAATGAAGTGAAAAAATGAAAAAGGCATAAAATAAAGAACAAACTAGGATAATAAATAAAATAATAGAAATAAAATGGATAAAATTAGGGGGGTGCAATTTTGTAGAAGAAAGAGAAGTTCATGCCTATGAGATTTGTAAGGAAATGAGAGTTTATAGTTGCAAAAGAAATGAAGTTTGCATCTAGGAGAGTGGTTTAGTGATTATGAGTTTTGTAGAGAAATAAGTTTGCGGCTAAGGTTGAAAGTTGGATCACAAGCCTTTTTTTTTTTTTTATAGCTTATGGTACCATAAAGGATTGAAGAGTTGTATATTCTTCAAAAGGAAGGTTTGTTCATTGATATATTTATGTATTTTACACTAGTTAGAGTGACAAATACGGAACCTAATAGTTATACATTGACTAAAAATACAGAGGAGAAAAGGGATTGAATCACATCCATTGACTTGTGGCTATATAACTAGGATTGGCCTAGATTCTTGTTTTGTGGCTACATTAGTGGGATTGATCTTGATTCTTGCTATTAGTCAAAACACTAATATTGTGTCACAACACAACTAGTCCTTTGCAATCAAATTTTTTAAAAAAAAAAAAAATAGGTACATGATAGTTGTTTTTTTGCATATATAGTCAATTGTTTATTTTTGGCAAATAATGACAATTTGGGATTACTTTCATTTTAAGGGTATAGAGGTTATACCATGGGATATAGAAAGCAGCCAAATAGCTAATACTGTTTTTTATTATTATTATTATTATTATTATTATGTTGGAAGCTATTAGTGTGGTTACACATCAATAGAATTAAATTTTAAAAGAAGTTATGGTAGTCATATAATGCAATGCTATTTACACATGTAACTGATATCAATTTTTTTGTTGATTTAGTTTATCTTCTTCATCATATACTTTCTATGGATATTTGAATATGTGATGAGAAATCTTGGTATAATACAATTTTAGATTTTTATTAAATACTATGGCTTTCGTACTACTTATTCAATACCAATATTACGATAAATACATGCATTATTATTATATATAATATTAGCCACCATGAGGGTCTTAAAAACTGCAAAACTTGATTCCATGTGATGATTCTTTACCCACAACCTTCTTAGCTCATCTCTCATTTTTTGCACTTCATTCATAATTGGTTGGATATCAATGAATGTTTTATCACAAGATTTCTCATCACACTTGTACAAAAGCTTGCTTTTTACCATGTTTAGTTTCTGATATCTTAACAACAACACATTTTTAAAATTTATTGTAGTTAACGTTCTTGAATTTCAATCCATCATTTTGCTCATATTGGTTGTTGTGGCTTGAAGATGGAAAGTTCATGATAACCTGAAGCAGATGTTGCTTGTTATGGAACTCGAATTGATTATGCTGGTGGATTTTCAAAGTTAATTTGTTGGAAAAGATGGAAGAAAATCAAGTTAAAGATGCAAAGAAAGTGGATTGACTGTTGTTGTTCTTGTGTCGTATTTTATAGACATTTTCCAACAATCTTGAGGGCATTTAGAGCATTTGAAAGACATTATATACCAACTATATTTGATTTTGAAAAGGATAACAGCTTCAAGAACATTATAGACATTAAAATTGCTATTCCACTTGCTTAATGATAAACTTGTAATTATTTAAACGTTACTTTTCGTCGGAAACTAACATTTGTAAACAAAATCAAAGTATGAGATGTTATGTATTACAAAATATAGAATGTAAAGTATAACATTAAAAAAAAATTAGGTTGCAAAATATTCTTACCGTAAAAACAAAGAATGATTATGGTGATTTACCCCAATCTTTACTCTGTTTTGAACTCCAAATCAAGAGCCCCTTGAACTCTATATCAAACCTAAACATATATATGGACCAAATCTAGAATTCGGCTACATCTTTTATTTCAAAAATGGATGAACTCATAACAAAAGTCAATCAACACCTAAGACCATTATCTCTTCAAAGGGTGTGGAGGAAAGGATCTAAGGACAGGTGTTAGACTTGTCAAAAAAAGGGAACAATAAAGAAGAGGAATTAAGGCGGTAAACCATAAGCTTTTTGAACATTTGGGGTTAGTTTGCTTCCAATTGGACTTGTTTTGTGAAACTTCTCATCAGTTGGGGCCTGATTTGTAGTATTCCCAAATCTTTATCATTATTCATATAAAGAGAATCGATGAAAATCATAGTGGACGGTCCAGGCGACCAATGATTTCCTGGACCGGCGTGAGTTAAAACAGTAAAATGTCGATAAACATGCTACCATATCGAACCTAAGAAAACAGGCATTATTTCATGATAATTCAACTCCTGCCTGATTTTCCCCATTGCTTCATGGAAGCTCCTGAAAAAGGCTATGCTATGCTTGTTATGCACAGGCATTTATTTTTCCTCATTGATGGAAATCATTACCAATCACAGTGCTTCAGTAAATTTGTTGCCCAATGTTAAAAAAAAATATGTTCACATATGTCAAGAAAAGCAACCGTCTTCCTAGAGAAAATTTGGGAAAAAGCCAAGAACCATTTTTTCAAACTCCCATAAAAACTCCTTTACCGCTTGTTAAACACTGGTTTTAGACTTATAGCTGTATGGCATTAACATGGGAAGTCTTGTACATTATTGAAAAAAAAAATCAACTTTTTTGCTTAAATGATAAGTACATGTGTTTAAGTCAGATTTTTTTTATTTTTTTATAACCTAAGGTGTACTGACCAGACTTACGTGCATCTCGACTAATCTCTAGATCTATCGAACATCCTGCAAACTCGGTAGGCAAGTAATGCATCGCGGAGGTGACGGACGTGCGCGGAGAGAATCGAACCCTAATGTCATTGGTGAGCGACCTTCAACCTTATCATTGAGCTACGACCTCAAACGCATTTAAATCAGATTTTCTTAAGAGAGCATTAAACACTTTTTTTTTTTATATATTAAGGATGTTTTTCAGTTAGTTTTTGTACATTTTAACACTAATTTTTTTCTGACACGGCTAAAAAACACTTTTCAATATAAGCTTTCAGATATTTTAAAACTAAATTTAAAAAATATTGATGATAAAAATCAAACTCCTAACATAACTTGCGTATCCATATTTATTTACCGACAAACTACTACAGTTGTTTCGAACTTTAATACTGTTTAGGCCACTGTTAAAGATGGTTTTGCTTTTTACCTAATACCTGCAAAGCATTAGTACCGTTATTAATAATGATCAAAGAGAATAATTACCAAATTTCAGTGATAATCTCTTTCGAAGTGAGACCCACTGGAGGCATATATATGATTATCTCGTCGCTCTGGCACTAACAAGGTATTTCATTATGTTACCATGGTGGCCTAAATGCATGGTTAAAAAGATTTTTTTTTTTTAAGATTTAAATTTTAGAATCAATATTTAAAAAGAAATATTAAAATTTTTTAAATATATTAAATTAATATAAAAATATGTTTTGTAAAATTGTTCGAAAAGACTAGTATCGATCAACGTGAACCAAAAAACTAATATATATATATATAGAGAGAGAGAGAGAGAGAGAGAGAGAGAGAGAGAGGTTTTCTTTTCAGCATGTACCTTCAAGGCCCCTCTTCACGTCTAAAGTTTGGACTGCACATAGATTATTAACCTTTTCCTTTTCTTCTTCAATTTGCTTTTTTTCTACTCTGACCCACAGGCATCTGGGCCTCCAGAAACAAATTATTACCATGCTCCCCAGCATCATCAAGGCTCAAGTTGCCTCATCATCTCCCACCTTCAATAATTTAGTCAACGTTTATGGTCAGAAATCATTTTACAATGTAGGGTGATGAGCAAAGGTGCACAAAAACTTAGTTAGTCATCCCTTTCAACTTCACCTTGATTAGACAATACTTGATGGCCTCCTAGCATTTCCAAAGAATGCAAGGCTAAGAAGAAAAATAGAAAAATGTGGCAATTCCAAAGAAGAGCGTGCTGAGAATTGAGGGAGGGTATATGAAAAAGCAAACACAATAATTTGTCTATAGAGCATGCTGTTCTGCTTCACCTTTTCTCTAATGCCTCCATCAACCATTTGATCATCTGCTGGTTCTGATAATATCAACGGTGTGTAACGAACAAGTACATTATATTAATCACTAGTAATGTTTATAAGGAAATAAATCATGACCGTAGAATTAGTAGACAAAGAGCTTACTCATAGTCAACACTGTGTCAGCTTTCCCAACAAGAGAACACTCTTCTCATAGAACTCCACAAAAACCACACTATCAGTCTACGAATCTCTCCCTCCCTCTCTCTCTCTCTCTCTCTGGTCTCTTCTTCATTCATGGCGGTTTTGAAACTTTACTCTCTCTACATTTTCTACACCTTAATCACCGTAGCCTTCTCTGCTTCACTCACTCAGTCTTCGTTGCTTTCTGCTTCAACAGATGTTGAGCTTCTAATTGGAAAGATCAAAACTTCACTGCAAGGTAACACTGAAAACCTTTTACTCTCTTCGTGGAACTCATCTGTGCCTTTGTGCCAATGGAGAGGCCTCAAATGGGTCTTCTCTAATGGCTCTCCTCTCTCTTGTATTGACCTTTCTGCACCACAATGGACTAATCTTTCACTCTATAAAGACCCCTCTTTGCACCTTTTATCTCTACAGCTCCCATCTGCTAATCTCACTGGTTCACTTTCTAGAGAGCTCGGTGGGTTCTCTATGCTTCAAAGTTTGTATCTTAACATTAATTCACTGAGTGGAACCATCCCTCTTGAGCTTGGTTACAGTACTTCACTCTCAGATATTGATTTGAGTCACAATATGTTTAGTGGGGTTTTAGCTCCATCAATATGGAATTTATGTGATGGATTAGTTTCACTCCGGATTCATGATAATTCACTTACTGGGCCTCTTCCTGAACCAGCATTGCCAAACTCAACTTGCAAGAATTTGCAGTTTCTTGACTTGGGTAGCAACAAGTTTTCAGGGAATTTCCCTGAATTTGTTACTCGCTTTCAAGGTCTTAAGGAGCTTGATCTTTCTGGTAACATGTTCTCGGGTCCAATTCCTGAGACATTAACTGGTATAAAACTTGTAAAGTTGAATCTTTCGCACAATAATTTTAGTGGAGTGTTGCCTGTTTTCAGTGAATCGAAGTTTGGTGTGGAGGTTTTTGAAGGGAATAATCCTACTCTTTGTGGGCTACCTTTAAGAAGTTGTAGTGGAAGTTCTGGATTGAGCCCAGGTGCAGTTGCTGGCATTGTGATTGGGTTAATGACTGGAGTTGTAGTTTTGGCCTCTCTGTTAATTGGTTATGTGCAAAACAAAAGGAGGAAGGGTATGGGAGATAGTGAATATGACATCGAGGAGGAATGCGAAGATGATGGAAATGGTGGTGTTGGTGGCCTTGGTGGTGAAGGGAAACTAATTCTGTTTCAAGGTGGTGAGCATTTGACATTGGAGGATGTGTTGAATGCAACAGGACAAATTATGGAGAAGACAAGTTATGGGACTGTTTACAAGGCCAAGCTTGCTGATGGAGGCACGATTGCTTTGAGGTTGCTGAGGGAAGGTAGTTGCAAGGATAGAGGTTCGTGTCTGCCAGTGATAAAGCAATTGGGGAAGATTCGGCATGAGAATTTAATTCCTCTGAGAGCTTTCTATCAGGGAAAGAGAGGGGAGAAGCTACTCATTTATGACTATCTTCCAAATAGAACCCTACATGACCTTTTACATGGTAAGCACATATTTGGCCTTTTCTCTGCATTTTATATATTCATGTTCGATTGTCATACACTTGTTGAAAGCACAGCTGCCTTTGTCTGTTAAAAACGCAGTTCATTAGGATCAAGGCCTTTTGTCACTAATGAATCAATAACGCATTGAATTGTAAGACAAAATCTTTTGTTCAAACAATAAATTCTGGTTGATCCCGAATATTTCTCCTCAGTGTTGAGCTATTAGAAGTACTTTAGAAAATCAAGAAAAGATGATTAATTACTTTGTTTGCTGCTCTTTGCCAACACCCCACATGCTCTAGACTAAGAATAAAAGTTGTTCCGACAAGAAGAGCCTCCTTGCTTGTAATAGTGCCCGTTGAGGCACTGTCAACTTTGGAATGATAGATCTTCTGCAAACAAATTTTATAAATCTCCGAAAGGGCTTTTTGATATAGATATAATTGTAGAAACTAGAGCACGGAAATGCTCTCTCTCTCTCTCTCTCTCTCTCTCTCTCTTTGGGTTGTTATGGTACTGTATGTTTAGTCCTCTTTGAATATTAGGAAATACAATCTCATTACTCTTGGTTTATTCGTCTGGTTAATTCCAGAGACTAAAGCAGGAAAACCGATGCTGAACTGGGCCAGAAGGCACAAGATTGCATTGGCTATAGCCAGAGGACTAGCATACCTTCATACAGGCCTTGAGACACCAATTACCCATGGGAATGTCAGGTCCAAAAATGTGCTTGTGGATGAATTTTTTGTTGCTAGGCTTACCGAGTTTGGACTTGACAAGCTAATGATTCCAGCAGTAGCTGATGAAATAGTGGCACTTGCAAAAACTGATGGCTATAAGGCACCGGAGCTTCAAAGGATGAAGAAATGCAATTCTAGGACAGACGTTTATGCATTTGGAATTCTTTTGCTGGAGATATTGATAGGGAAGAAACCTGGAAAAAATGGAAGAAGCAGTGATTTTGTGGACTTGCCTTCTATGGTGAAAGTGGCAGTCCTAGAGGAAACACCAATGGAGGTTTTTGATTTGGAGATTTTGAAGAGGGTAAAGAGTCCAATGGAAGAAGGGTTAGTTCAGGCATTGAAACTTGCAATGGGGTGCTGTGCTCCAGTGGCTTCGGTTAGACCAACCATGGATGAAGTTGTGAAGCAGTTGGAAGAGAATAGACCAAGAAACAGGTCTGCTTTGTACAGCCCTGATGAAACAAGGAGTGAAATTGGTACCCCCTTCTAAGCTCCTCCCTTCCAACATGTTTTAGCTCCTTTTTTCTAGCTGTTTCTCATTTAACTGGAGCCGTTGGTTATAATTTTTATTCTGTAATATTAATGTGTATTTTTAAATCATTATTTAGTCTCTAATTCATGACAATGTGTCTTTGAATGTTAGAAGAGTATCAAATATGCTGAGATTATGTGTATTGCCTGACGTTGAGAGTGGGCCAATTTTGTCTTAATTTCTTTCTGGAACTCTGCACGACAAGCAAGTTAAGATGTAGGCTTTGTATTGTCTTTTTTTTTTTTTTTTCCCTCTTTCTTTTTAAAGGATACTGCTTATTTCTACATCAGCAACAGTCAAAACTCGTACTCCAACAAGAAAATATTATACAACTTAACAAATCTGGAATTGAAACAGCCCGAACAAAACGCATAACTTTAATGCTTTCTTAGTGCTCTTTCATTTGAAAAACGGTAACAGTGAGCGTATCAATTGAAATTTGGAGGGAGAAATAGTGGTAGGTCTGAATTAAGACTTTTAAAAATTGGGGGATTTCATTAAGACTTAATCAATAATACAAGGACCACGGAGCTCAAATAACAAGAGTTATGACTACTAACTGGATTATAGCATTTGACATCCCTGTACCATTGAGGTTTGATTAGTTGAGTTCCTCTACTACTAATATTCTTCACGGAACCCCTTTCCAGTGTGTTTGTTTTACAATTACGATCCTCTATCTAAACCGTTGTTAGCAACTAATTTCTTGGCTGACTAGATGTGCAACACGAGTCCATATACTCATTTTGACTTGTAAAAATGGCTTGAACAAATGAAATTTCATTTTCAAAAATTTCAAGGACCGAAAAGGAAGTAAAATATTAAAAAAGAATTTTACCCCTTTGAAATGACATTAAACAAAAAATAAATAAATTATTAGTAGAGGAATTTATTTAGATTTTCTTGCTTTTTAATTTTTTATAATTTTTTAAAATACTTTAAATTGAATTTCATTTTTCAAGATTTTTTTTTCATTCAAAAATTAAAACTCAGGTCAAATTGAATCGATATGGACATGTATTGCATTTCTAATAAGTCAATAATTTTTTTTACCTAATATTTTTAATTTTTCTTTCCAAAAAAATACATTAACTAAAAGATTAAAAAAATGTTTAAAAAAAAATCTCTAATAAATCTCTCTATTGATAATTGTTTTAAAAAAATTATTTTTTGACTCGTTATTTCATAAGGTTAAATTGTTTTAATATTTTATTTTCAATTTCTGAAATTTTCAAAAAGTCAATTTTTAAATCATTTATTTATTTAAGAAATTAAAAATTAGATCAAATTTATTATATGGATATATGTCGCACATCTAACGTGATTCAATAAGTTACTAATAATGCGTTTTAGACGAAAAATTCTAATTGTAAATATAATATATTGTAAAAAAACTTCATCAATCATATTACTAATAGAAGAACCCAACTAATCAAATTCCAATAACAAAGAAATGTCATATGTACTTAACCTCATTATTGACCAAAAAAAAATTTGATAATCTTCTTTGATTTGGTATCTTTTTGTTTGATCCATTTGATTTTACAAAGGTGAGGACATTAAAGGAAGATGATAAAAATTAGGCTAAAAGGTCTAACCATCCTTGAGCTATAAGTCATTTGAAATTGAGTTTTGAAATTTTTTGATTGCTTCAAGAAGTCTACAAGTTTTATAAATTTTGAAATTAAATTCACTCAATTTTTTTTCTTGTAAGAAATAACGGAGAATGTGTACATGAAAGTAGAAAACACACATGGCGAGACTTAATCTAACGAGAGGATGCTAGGCGGTTTTAATTTTTTTTTATTAAACCCTAACCCACTTTAACTAATAATGAATTAATAGTGCCTTTTTTTCACATTTAGCCAAAACTAATCAAACAACTTCCTCTCTAGTTTGCACATTTAAAAACCCAAATCAAATCACTACAAAAGAACAAAAAAAAACAACTAAAAAATGTTATACCTAGAATGAGTTCTTCAAAATATCCACTACCAATCTTCCTCCCATGCTTGAACTTGCCACCAACCATATGTTAAATCTTTGATTTTTCCATTTTTTCTTCAAACCCTTGTAAGCTCTAAACTTTCTAAATTTACCTAGATAGATTTGTGCTCTAGATTTCATCTATGCACAAAATCCAACACCAACAAATTTATTAGATTAATACCAAAACTCAAAATTAGAAACAAAATCGAGAAGAAGAACCAAATAATCACAAAACAAGTCAATCACAAGAAACAAAAATCACATCCTTAGATTGTTTCAACAAAAAAGAATCAACTAATTGAAAAAAAAAATTGAAAATCCTATTTTTTTAAGGAGATCAAATCAAGCTACATTGACATGACATGACAAATCAATTGCGAAAAAAAAAACCATAAAATATAGTGAAAATGAAGATGCAAATCGAGAAAAGTAGATTTTGGATTACCAAAAAAAAGCAAAATTATGGAGAAAATATAGACAGTCACCCTTAGAGAAAAAAAGCCTCAACTATAATCCATCTCTCCAAAGTCGACTAATCAAAAACCTAATCTCTTCCCTCTTCTTTGACCATCCCAACGCCAACCACCTTCTTTTCCACCATCAACCACTCTTCCCTCTTCTTTGACCATCCCAATGCCAACCTCCTTCTTCTTCATCGTCAACAACTAGTGCTACCCTCTCTTTCATTGTCACTAAGACCATACTCGCAACCACCATCTTCCTTACGAGAGAAAGACACCATCCACCCAAACAAAATCCTTCTCTCTTAAAAATTTTTTTGGCTAGCCACCTTCGTATCGGACCCGATCTTCACCATCAACAACAACTAACCGCCACCTAATCCACATCAAACCCTCTCAAGCCACCATCAACACTAGCAATTGTCATTACTTCCTTTCACACGAAACCTTTAAAAGCCACCATCAATAGTCACTATCACCAACTCAAACCCATTGTCAAATCACACTTATTTGTCGAAACCCATCAACTTTCATTCGTCGAGCCATTACTTGAAACCCCAACCATCAACAACCACCACCACCTTTACTACCTAACACCCCCTACATCCATTGCCAATCTCCACTAGAGCCAAAATACTACGGTTGGTCGAAACACTGCTCTCAAACCTCCTAAATGTCCCCGCCTCTTGATTATTGAACAAATCAGCATATGAACTTAAATTGTGAAGAATAGTTAAAGTGGGTTGGGGCAAGTTAGGGTTTAATAAAAAAAATTAAAACTACTAGTCATCCTCTATTAGATTAAGTCACGCACGTGTGTTTTCCACTTCTACATACACGTTCTTCCTTATTTCGACGAAAAAAAAAATTGGATAAACTTAATTTCAAAACTTATAAGTTTATAGACTCCTAAAACCAATAAAAAAAAGTATCGAAACTCAATTTCAAATTACTTATAATTCAAAAGTTATTAGATCTTTTTAACCTAAAAATTATTATAACTAGTAAAAAAAGTTTTTTTAAAAAAATAGTCAAAATCACCTTTTTTATTTTTGAGTTTGTTGTTGTTATTGGCTGTGTTACTCCTAATTCAAATTTGATCCATTTACATTAAAGTTGATAAAATATTGGTCCATTAAACCCATTAATTAATAAGGAACAAATCACTTTTTCTTATATACGCATAATAGGGATGGAATTGTTATTTCTTTAAAAATTATCTCCTTCATGAATTGGTAGTGTTCATCCCGACTCAACATTTTATCAATTTTGATGTAAATTAACCAAATCTATAACACAGGAGCTAAGATGACTATTTGCCACATAGGGATAAAAAGATGGCTTTGCCAAAACAACAAATCACAACAATACCAAAATGAGTCATTACAACAAAACGATCTTGACTACGAATAGAACAGAAGGTTGGCTGGATGGACCTCAAGCTCATAGGCTGGCCTTTTATTTCATTTTTTTTTTTTCCCTCTTTTTGGATGGACTTAGCTTTGATATAAGTGACCGGTGGGCTTCGAAGCCTGAGCTCACAGCTTCTCTTCTAAGTCCAGAAACCCGATTTGGAAACTTTGTTGGTGCTAGCTCAACCCAAGCTCGATTGTTTGGTTAAAAAGGAAACCATTTTCCAGGTTGCATGAGTAGAGGCTACAAAACATGAAAAACAACTGAGACCCGTCCACTTGCTTTCTCAGTACAGCAAAATCTGCCTTTTAAAATATTCCAGTTCCTATAGCGTCATACAAAGATCTTTGCAACCAAATTTAAGCACAAGAAGGAGGAGAAAAGATCAGTAGAAATACAAGTATATATAGGTTTAGCATGTACTTGTTTTTGTTCATAAGTTTCCATTCTCTTCTATCGATGACTCAGAGGCAGAATCATCCAATGTTGAATTTGAGATGGTCTCAATATCAGAAGTTCCAGATGGTTTATCTTGATCAACAGGTTGTTTCAAAAACCAATACATGATGCTTGCTGTCAACGTAAGAATCATCTTCTGATTGACCTGGAAAAAAAGGGCAACCATGTTATAAGCTGACTCTTAGCCCTAGGATATGGTGGCAAAGAATTTAAATGGACATCATCAGATGAGAGCAGTGTTCCATCTACGATATTGCCAAATTACATTGATCCCTCGTGCTTTCGTGCATGTGCACGTGTGAAAATGTCAGCTGAAAAATGCATCAAAAACTACCACATACAGCAAGTTGGTTTTAATTTAATTTCCAGGCCAAGGACAATGAACTAGTTCCATTTCCATGTTAAGACAATCAGCAGTGTCATAACAGTAGACATGAAATTTAGTCTTTCAAGTCTTGCAAGTTTCACATTTCGTTTAGAAACACCATGGCTGTAGTTAGACATGATTTGTACACCAAAGAAAATATATCAATGCAAACAACTACATAATGATAAAGAAAAAAAGTTACCTCAGTTATGTCTTCAGGAAGCAAAAATATAGAACATCCTAGCTTCCTTGCAATACTGATGATGTAGGTGGCATTCATCTTTTTCCCCTCATCTGCATCGTTCACAAATTTTTGTGCAGAAAAAAAAATACATTGAATATTGGAATATTGCTACACCCTGAAATATATTCAAACCAGAGGAGAGAGAGGGAAATAGGAGTAAAGATCAATTGAAAATTGCAACATAAGAATAGAAGAAAGCTCACCAGTTACTCCTTTTGTTACGAGACTCCAATTTACTGCTCTAGGCTGAACAGCACTCAGCAGCTCAAGGAAGAATATGCCATCTGACAGACTTTTATCCTGAAAAGTTTAGATAGGGAAAGTTTGTAATATCAAAGAGATATATATTTCTTGCTTCAAGGTATAATGCAGGTTAATTTTCAGTTTTGTGCTAGAGCTATAATTCCCTAAGATGTCTATGGGACACTCATGTTAAAAAAGATGCTAGTTTTACAAACTTAGAATAGAAACAGTTCCACTCATTGCATAAAAAATAGTAAGAAGCACAATATACATCGGCTGTAATATAAAAACAGTCTGATGATTCATATGTGCATGAGGCTTGACAGACAAATTAATCGATGATGTATTCCAATCAATACAGCCTAGCAAACCTTTTGTTTAAGCCTCTAAAAGTACTTAATCCCAAGTGCATCTTATATGGAATGAAATCAGCTATAGAATCACACCTTAAAACTATTCATGCGGCTCTGGGTTCCTGAGTTGCTGACTTTGGTGTTTGCCCATTGTAAAATATCTGCATCTGTGATTTCCTTTCCATGGGAATGGAATCTCAAGTTCTTTAGAAGTTGGAGGATGTTGTATCTCATCAACTGCCACAGATAAGCTAAAGAGAATTTCGAGCATCAGTATGAATTAAAAACTGACAGAGCATACTCGGCCTCAGAACAAAAATGGGAAGGTACGTGTTGAATAGAGAACATACCCAATATTAACTTTTTATTTCCTTGCACGATGTCATTTCCAGCAATGTTAACCAGGGAAAATTTTAATTGTTTTCCTATTTTTACAACTTGATTACAGTTTTCTACTTTTCTGAATGGCAATTTAATAGGAGGCTTATTTGCAATTTTCCAATTAACAATCCCTGGCGACACCTTGTCAAGGGTCTCTAGAAGTAGCCACCTGCAGAGTAACAAATAGTTCACCTCAGCTTCTGATCGAGGTATTACAAAAATATTTGGAACTTACTATTTGACCAAGAAGTTTTTATGAGAAACCATGTATATAAAATACAACTTATTTGTGTCACAATGTTTGGATGAGGGGCCATTCCATGATATGTGCGATTGAATTAAACTCTATTAGGTTAATACTGACCCATTTCTGAGATCTTCAAACACATTGTTAATGTAGGTTGAATTCCCAAGACTATTCATCCAAAAGCGAAATGCTCTTTCTTCTCTGGAGATTTGAGTGTCGTCTGGTAAAGTTTCAAGAAAAGATATCTGTTTTGTCTGTGTTGACAGCCCATTCCTGCAGGAAAGAAACAGTAGTTAGGAGTATGCTTCTTTGGCTTTTTAAAGATGATACGGACAACAAAAACAGCCCATTAACCTCTGTTGGTGAATTATAACCATTTTAAATGAAATTCATTTCTTGAGAAAAGGCTTATATTCTCACCTATGCTGGAAAATATGAGCAACAAAGGCAAGGTTAAGATTTGGGGAACCTTCAACAATATCCTTTGCAGTTAAGTATCTCTTGCAACCCATCCTGTCTGCATGTTCAAGAACTAACTTTGCTCTCGTCAATGGATCTTTTACTGTTAATGTAGATGGATTACTAAATTCAGGTGCAAGAACGTTTAGAAGGTGAGCATAAGCCTCAGCGTCCTGCAAGGGACCACATATCCAGTGTCAAATATCAATATAACTGCAATTGCATAAGCCTCCGGGTTAATTATTTTTTGTCATTCTACAATTGTATACCAAATTAAGGAAGAGGACTACTAATTAACTACATTCATCAGCAAAGAAAGATGTTTCAGAATGCAAGCACCCATAAATGCTAGGATAACTGCAGCTACAAGTTTAGGAAAAACTAACTCAACAGATGAGTTGTAGCAATTCACCATAAGCAGATGACTAGAAAAATGCTCAATAAAATTGTGGTATGCATATTGAATGAGTGATTACTTCTAGAGATGAAAAAAAACTGGATAAGTATGGCAGCCTAGGTGTAAAACAGATTTCTTCACTAAGATGGAGGAAACTATTGGTTATGGGAAACAATCAAGGTAGATACACAGAGCAAAAGCTTGAGTAAAATTAGTTACCGTTATAAATGCTATGCTCTTGTCATATGAAAAATCTACTCCGTTGTTCAAAAAAAAATTTCTAACCAAGAACTTCAACAGTTAAACAGCAAGGACTTCACCTTCTTAAGATTCAACCATGAATAAATTAAAAGCCATTTCAACTACAACTCAACTAATAAAATTTGATCTATAGTCACAATAGTCACATCATACTTATATATGCTCATGAAGTTCAAACATATAATCAGTCTAAGAAAATACGTGGCACTGACCAACATACATATCATTAACTTCTCATTTCAGGAACATAATCAGACTGTAGTGCCTTAAAGATAATACAGAAGTGACTGCAGGTTAAAACTAAAATAAAGTAGTTTTTGACTAATCTGTGACTATTCTTAAGGCTCGTACCAGTTTGTCACTATCACAATATAAAACTCATCTCTCTTTTACCTTCACATCAGAAGAAAAGTTTGTGACTATTTTCTTGTATCCTGATTTTTTCAGTTGGAAGTTCATCCACCTGAGTAAGATCTTCTCTGGCGGTAGACTCATCAACTCTTCTACATCCTGTTTTTTAAAGGAATACATGTCATGCAAAGCACTGAGGTAACACTTTTTAAATCGTTAGTTGATGAAAATACAATTACTAGAACTGACTATACACCTTGCTGTCATCAACCAATTCCACCAGCTGAGGAGTTTTCTTCAAGTTTAGGTCTGCCAAGAGTTGTATCTAAAATAGCAACACCATTGAGAAAGGTTAAAACAATTTCTAAAGAGGTGAAGATGCATGTAATCTGCTTGACTTTATTTATGAATGCAAAGCTGAGGATACTATCATCATTAGATGCACCAGTAGTTCACATTATGTATAAATAATTTCAAACTTGTTGATCATGAATGCAAAGTCATAAGAATCTTACTTTAATGATTTGAGAAATTAATCCAAGCATAAGATGGCGCTGAAATTGAAACCAAAGAAGATAATATCATCATCTATTACAATCAAGCTAAACAAAGTCATAACTAAGGTTAACTGATTGAACTCAACAAAACCCAGGTAAGAGAAATTGATGAATCAAAATGTGGAATCGCAAGCACCTACCCTTCCTTCAATGAAGTCTTGGGTGCCTATATTGACCACTGTACATCCAATTGCCTTGGCTGAATTGAGGCAGAGTGTGTGGTTTTCATTCCTTTCCCACGGATTGAGTACCCTCTTTGTATTGATAGCTCTTTCATCAATAGTACCAGGAACTGCTACATTGATAAGCTTACTGCATCAAAGAAAAATTATTGCTCCAAACTCTGTAACTCATAATCATTAAAACCCACGAAAAAAAAAAAGGAATAAAAAATTACCAAAGGAGCACCCCATCCTTTGCAATCTCAAAGAGATCATTAGTTGAAGGATCTATAGGGAGATATTTCCTTAAGAATTCATCTTCTCCAAGGTAGTTATTGATATGTGAAACATAGGATGCCTTCTCAGATTGACTGATGGTGTGAAGCAATGTAGTTGTGGCTGCTTTAAGGAATGCAGATGAGTTCTTTGCAACACTTCCTGTTCTTGCACTTGCATGTGCATGAAGTTTCAAAAATACCTACAGATTGCAGAATCATCAACAAATTAATCTCTCTTACTCATAAATATTTTGAGCTCAAGATCTTGAAGATTCACAAGTCAGCTAACAAACTCCCATCTGAAATACACAAAACAGAAGCAGAAGCAGAAAAGGGAAGTGAAAAGTGAAAGCTAACTGACCTTCAAAAAGAACTCGAAATCAACCTCATCGTCCAGATTCTGATACAAATCTTGAATAAAAGAAGCTCGCTCTTCCTCACTCAGATTCTCTCCGACAACTTTCAACCTGGACATCCTCGATGCCAAGTCCCCTAGCGTCAGCTTCCCACTCTCTCTCCTCATGCTCATAAACTACAATTCAAAATGTTCAAAAAAGGAATCCCAAGATACCATTAATTAATCAGATCAAAGAAAATGAAGAAAAAGGGAGATTACAAGACTTGATTTCAGTTAATTACATGAGATTTTAAGCTGCGAAGCTCGACTTGAGTGAACTGATTTTGGAGCCATGGATCTGATACCAGAATGCCAACGTAACCTGACATTTCTTTATTCTTTACTATTTTTATAGAAGATTAAAAATCAAGACCGAGCAAGTGAACAAGAAAGAGAAACAGAAACTGCGTTTTCCTCTCTTTGTTGTTGTTCTTCTTCAGAGGAGGAGGAGGAGAAGACGCAGCACTGCTATCTTTTTCAACCAGAATTGCTCCTTCCTTCGTTTTGTGAGAGAGGAGGAAAGGAAGGGAAGGGAAGGGAAGGGCAATGGTAGTTTGGGCTTTTGCGGTGGGAGGGGGAGACGGGTTGGGAGCTGTCAGAGTATTCAAAGAATTCAAATTATGACCAATCGGTCCTTCTTACTTACTCTCTTCTACCTGGATGGGAACTCACTTCGGGGTCCCACCATTTTTCCACCGGACCCCTTCTCTGTTGTTACCTTTGCTCATTTCAAAATTTATGCCTAATCTACTAAACAATAGAGACCCCATCCCATTCACTTCGTCCTTTTACGTTTGATTTTGAAAAGGTGTTTCCTTTCCTTACATTCCTCCTTTCTAAACAAACAACTATTATTATTTGACGAAAACCTAACATTAGATTCAATTTTATTAATAAATAATTCAATTTAAAATTAAAAGTTAGAGAAACTGATTTTCAAATAAATTAAAATTCAATAAAGATTTTATCCCAATACTTTGATTTAATTCATGTAGTAAAGTTTGTGTAAATAGATTTGGAAAAAATAAATAAAGTGTAGTTAAGTTATTTAAAGCTCATCAGCATAAAATGGGATGGATGGATAAAGGCAATCGTTATGAGAGGATGATTTAGCCATTTCGCAAATTGCGAAGCCCCACAGAGGGAAAAGCATGCGTGCTTTTAAAAAAGTAGGAGTTGGTAACAGAACTGAACGGTCATATTTGACATTTCCTATGAGAAGTAAATGAACGTTGAAGTATAGAATTCGAATCCAGTAACAACGGCAAGGCTTCAAGCCTCCAAAATTATTTATTATTATTGCCTATTCATCCCCATCCTAATTAATTGCACCATCCTAATTTAATCCATTAAAGGTTAGTTACTAATAATGTTTCCTTCTTTTTTTATTGGTTAATAACTGCTTTTGTTGTTCCAACATAATTATTGATTCGTCAATTCCAAAAGTTGGTTTGGAATGGAAAAAGTTCAATCCCTTTAGTCCGTGTATTCAAAAATATAATATAATATAATAATAATATATCAGCTTGATGAGAAGAGTGTTTAATGTTCAAGAGTGAATTATTAATTTTTTTTTGAAAAAAAAAAACTTAAGTCTGTATTTCAAATATAGTCTTTACTATCCAATAAATATTTATTTATATTTTTAATTATATTTAAATAATTTTTTTACAAAATATATTTTAATTAATAATATTTTAAAAAATATATATCTTAATTAATAATATTTTAAAAAATATATATCACTTAAAATTTTGATCAGATAAATATTTTAAAACAAATATAAATATAACCAAGCATAATCTTTTTGAGACAATCTATTTGATTTAATCTCTCCACCTAAACGGCACTATGAAGGAGAGAAAGAGCCATGTGATGGAGGGACCAGAGATAGAAGAAAAGGAGACGTGGGAGCTAAAAGGCAGGTGTTATATGATAAGATAGATATCCCATGGGAGGTGGTGTTGTTTCTTAGGAAAATGTAACTTTATTACCCCTTGTTAGTAAACGAGTTAGATGCCAATAATTATGGCAGTATAAATTCAGAAGTCAGATGGGATAATTTATAGGTAGGTTTAATTATGTCCAATTCCAAATACTTTTGTCGTTCATTCATTACCATTCACGAGCAAATTGAGAGGTTGCTTACATAGGGCTCTTTTTTTATCTTGTGGCACTTGAAAAAGAAAAAAAAATGGCTTCACTTTGTTCCAGACTAGTTGGTTTTTCTTTCCTTCAAAATGTTTTTATTACAATTTCTTCTTGGCAATGAGCAAGGACTGTGACGACGACTCTGGAATTCGACTTGTCATGCTTGGGAATCAGATGTGCAGTCATAAGATGTTTAACGAAGGAAAAGTCGCTGGACCTCATTTCTAGGAGAAACATGATCAAGAGGAATGAAGTTCCAAACAAAAAGAGAAGGATGCCGATGGATCAGAAGGATCTAGCGTAGGCTAAAATAAAAAAGGTTTAATGGCGTAACGTACCTTGTAATTATGGAGATCATGACAAAATAAGATTTATATTATTAATTTGAGTCATTTAATGTTAATTTTTAATCAAATTTTATCTTTTTTTTGCTATGTTTGGCGATCAAAGTACTAAAATACTTAAAACAACATAGTTTTAATATTATTATTTTTAAAAAAATTAAAATTAATTTTGGAAAAAAATAACAATAGTTAGACTTAAAAATAAAAAAAAAAACTTAAATAATTTTGTTGGTTATGTATAACTTTTGATGTTAGATAATTAATGATGTATGGTGGATCAATCTAATAACAAAAATTAAAATATTTATACTAACGTAGCTTTAAACATTTCAGTTAATAATACTTTGATCGTCATACACAATAAAAATAATAAAATTTATCTAAAAAATTAATAGTTTGATATCCAAATAATCCAAATTAATAATATAAAACTTAAACCTAATAGTTTTAAGGATAAATTATGCAATTAAACCAATTGAAAAGCTTATATCTTTCGTCTTTGAGCACAAACAATGTGAACCCACCACTATTCCAACATGAACCAACAACCTTGGCTTCGTGTAATGGAAAAAATACAGTGGACAAGGATCCAAGTCCATGTGCAATGTCTACAAGAGAAATCAACTCTATGATGTACATGTGTTTGCATCCGATTTGGTTGCACCTTTTTTTCTTTTTTTAGCCAAAAAATAAATCTAAATCAGTACGGTATCCAGACGCTACCACTGAGATACATACAGATATTTTCCTTCAATCACCCTATTAAAGCTATAGCCACAATCAAATCTCTAAATCAGAGAGATTATTACTAAGATGTGACTCTACGTTAACCTGTACTCAGAAACGAGCAGAGGATCATCCATACCTTCAAACGAAATGTTCCACTTCCAGCTTTCAGATCCTATCAAATTTAGATACTTGTAGTAAAAACCACGGAAAGGGAGGCTTGAAATTTGAATTTCTACGCTCTGTTCACTTGATGAAAATCATCTGAGCACTTGATAATTATTCAAGCATCATCAAAGCATATCACATATCGCTGCCACTAGTAATTAGCCCCATGTTACAGGTAGGTGGTGAAAAAGACGGCTCACGAGGCTAATTCAACCCTTCGTTTTTTCGTCTACTGTTTATGACAGAAGATCGAGGGAATGGAGAACACGAAGAAGATAAATAGAATTTGCGCTTAGTGCGTGAACGATGTTTTTTCAAGTGCGTTTTTTATATATATTTTCGATAATACAAAACAAACACATTACCAAACACACTTTACAAAACAAATAAATAAATAAATAAAAATCAAATCCAAGACGGTGAGAGTTTTTAACTTTTATGAATACACAAATTTGCTTTTAAGGAAAAAAAAAAAAAAAAAGGCAGCTAACAACGGATTGAATGTAGAGAGATGAACTTTTTATTAATGAGGTGAAAAGATGGTGTGATGGTCTATCTACCTTTCCATTTTCACTTTAAAAGAAAAAGGCAAAACCAAAGAGTAAGGCATGAGATGAGATGAGATGAGATGAGAGGGGTGCTTGTGGGGAAAAGCTGAGAAAATAATTGGGGGAATATGTAGCAATCCTTGCTGTGTTTGCTTCTACTCCTCACAACATTCATATCATTACAAAGGTATATACTGATCCCAATATCCCACATTGGCATATTATGTAGGTCCATTCCCCACATGCCATTCCACTATTGTGTGTCAAACTGGAATTCGAACCATCATCATTGTTAGCTGATTCGGTATGTGATAAAAGCATGATTCGTGCTATGTATGGCTTTAATTTGTTTAATCGTTGAAGATCTGACTCGTTTATAGACATAATTACGATTCTTTTGCTAAGAAAAATCATTAGCTTAGGCCCAGGATACACAAATGTAAAATTCGTGTACGTTCTAGGAAATTCATTAGATGGTAAATCTATGTTGTTATTGACTGACCTTTGTTTGATGCTCTGAATTTGAGACATTTCATTTGTCACTTTATATATGAGTACCAAAAGCAGCCACCATTTTCCAGCAACAACATTTCACTGCACAACTGACTACCGAGCTGTTTTACTTCATCAGGAGTTGTAATTGAGTTACAGATTTGTTTTCTATCCAACAATCACCAACCTCTCACGTGATCCCTAACTTTCTGAGTGAGCAATGTTCACTAGGTTCAACCTACCTGTATGAATGTCCATCCAACAGCCGCTGCGAGCTTAACTGGGCTCTCGGTTCGATGTGGCATCCCTGCAATTTTTTTCTTTCTTTTTTCCTCATAAATATCTGCATCCCTGCATAAGAAAAACTAGTATGCTATTTCCTGGAGAATTTGAAGTGTCTTTTGATGAACCTGGATGCAGCACAAATAAACAAAATGAGTCTTCGTAAGAAGAATAGTATGGCCACGAACTGAAAATATTGTATTTTGGAAAGCAAACTACAAAACCCTTGCCTGGGGGAGAGTTAATACAGGAGTAACAATAATTTTAATTATGGTTAAACTAACTTTAAACATTCAATCAACCAACGTGAAACCTATTTGCTACCCCATTAGGCAGGCATTCTTTTTAATTTGAAATGACTAGAAAAGTCTTCATGTTCCTCTCTGTACATAATTAAAAATGAGAAAACAGAAAATAATAAAAGGCTTACAGTGCCACTCGAAGTCTCACACACAAGCATAGATACGTAGGCTTCAGTTGTGCTTGGGAAAAGAGAACTTACCCATTCTAGATGTTGTGCAGTAATGCCAGAGATATTTCCTGAATATACACCACCTAAGACCTAACAAGTCCAAGGTCAGAGATTATCAGTATCATCCATGCATAACTGCTTTCTATTTTAGAAACTGCACAGGTCATAGTGACAACCAGCAGACTCAAGCCCTTGTTAGCCATAGAATATGAAAATATGAACAGTTAAAATTTTTAACTCGTCCTCCATTTTCCTGTCAGTGCAATCCCATTCTTACAGGGTCCACTTTCTAATTGGGCTTAAAACCAGTGGTTCATTCTTTTTTCTTTTTGTTCTTTTTGTTTTAGCAAACAATTCATTCCTTCAGAATCTTAAAAAACTGATGGGATCTATACAAGGATAGGTACCTTGGTGACAGTCTCAAGAAACATGCCAGGTCGCACAGGAAGTGGTTTTCGTCCAGTAACGCTTCCCTGCAAACCATGCAAGCAGATTAATATAGTTCATCTAAAACATAAGGAAAGACAAGTGGGTCAATACCATATGATGCCAATAATTGTATGTCATGCATTCACACATTCACAAATGCTCGTACAAGTGCAAGTGTGTGCACACAGATGTTTATAACTCAAAGATTGTTCATATTAAGTGAATCAGGCACACCCTTCCGGCAATTCCGCTCGGAATCCTTTCACTGCTAATGTTCTCCTCCTCACTGGCAGCATCTTCTGCACCTTCATCTTTCCCTAGCATCACGTTTTTAATCATTTCCTGGACACTTTTCCCTGGTTTCAGCGCTACCAGTTTGGCTATGAAATTCACCTGCATTGACAGGTACCCAATCATGCAGATGACAAGCACCACAATAAACAATTGACATATAGTTGTACAAATTGTAGAAAAAACTGATTGTTTTACACTGTTTCATTTTTTCAAACAAACACAGGCCAATCATAATCAGCCAGAAACATCGTCATTTGGTGTGATATCATGAATGCAAAATACTGACCTCAGATTCAGGAAGCGTATTAAAACCACGGTCATTTCTTTCATCCAGTAACCCACCTCCCATCATGTCCCTGGCTTCCTCTCTAATTAAAACAAGCCTTGCAAGTAGTTTCCGGTCTGGGACAACTGACCGAGTTTCCATTGTCTGAAGAAGAATCGACCAATGTACAATGATCAGATAAGCCAAAGAAATCACACACACACGCAAAAAATGAAGAAACAAACAAAAAATTCCAGAGCCAAAATGGCCACTCTAAACCAATAGATTCAGGCGACTTTTGGTTCAAAATCGCGACATAAGTGGTCAAAAGATTAGATATTTTAATCACAATAATTTGGCTAGACCAGCTTAACACCTTGTCACAATACAGTAACCACCATTGTGCATAACAACCAGAAAGAAGGATCAGTGGACTATATAGCCACAACTTTAAAGTTACTCTAACTTCATAATTAGAGAAAACAAAAACAATACAAAAACTACAGGCTTCACATGATATGATGGAATACTAACCAAAGAGGAAATCATGCTATTTAGCCTTCCCTCTGCAGTGTTATTTCATAGATCCTATAAGCCTGCACTGCTAAAATAAAGTACAGGCATACAGGCTGAGAGTTGAGACTTTCAGTTAATTTTGGAAGAGGTATCCCAGATATCTTAAGATCTGAAAAGGAGTAATTTTAATGACCAATTGAAACTACAGACAAAATTCTACAGTAAACTACAGACGAAATTCTACACCAAGCTGCCTGGTCCAAAATTACTATTCTACTGTTGCACAGGAACAGTTTGGTCTTGAAAAACTAGGTAAACATTTAGTTCTAATCAGTAAACCCTTCATCAGGTGTGAAACAAGCAGTTTGCAAACCTTCTACCCTACAAGAAAAAGAAATGGACATCAACTTGAAATTCCTCTAGATGCTTAGCCTTTCACCGTTATCACTTGCAGATAAATTGTAGAAATTTAAATCCCAAGATCTGATTCTTATAAGTGCCAAATACAATAAGATCCACGTCAAATTTACTGACAGAAACCATAAAATAAATCAGTTGATATGGCAGTTCCCCAAAAGTAGCTTGGTAAAAGTCTATATTCAGGCCGGGCTAAAGGTCAATGCATTGCCGCCCCAAGAGATTAGGGTTGGAGAAAACAATTCTGCACCGATTATACAAACTCCACATGGCATTTGTCACAAAATTTGTTCAAAAATATTTTTAAAAGATCTTAAATGAAAGGACCACAGTCAAAGGACAAGAGAACTTTGACACCTGCATTTGAAAGATTCCATATATGTTAAACGAAATTAAATAAAGAATGGCAAGCAGGATTATCTGTAACTACCTCAAGTATATCATCAGCCTGATTAGCTATATCATTCAGGTTTGCCCCTGGAATATGAACTTTGGTGCCTTTATTACCTTCAAAGACACCACCACCAGCAGCAACTCTACGTAATAATTCATGCCTGCTGTCTTTCTGGGGAGTTCTGCAAAGCAAGCCAATCACTTGAACCTGATGGAGAGAATTCAGATTTTCAGTTATTGATAACAAAGGAACTTCCTCTTAATCAGAACAAGAATTAAGTATGCATTGAGGTGGCATCCTTACATGTGGGGAGCATTTTTTTGTAAGATGGGACAATACAGTTTCCTTGATAACTTCTAACAGTGACTTGCGCTGAACAAAAGCCATTAACAATCCATTAACAATCAGTTAAAATCCATTTCTAAATCGCATAGCCATCATTACAGTTAAAGAAATTTAATCATGCAGCAAAAAGCATTATAAAAAGTACTGTCCAATTTTGATTTGCTAGAGAAAAAGACAAGCTCCTAGTTTTCTGCCAACGAACAGCTATGCAACAAGAGAGGTGACTGGTTGAAACCTTGGCAGTAGACCAAGAGCAACTAAAATCACGCATACCACTTATTACAGACAAAAATGAAGGCAAGCGTGGCTGCTATGTTAGACTGCTTAGGTTCTGAGTTTCCCTCAGCACATGGGCCTAAATTAGTGCTACGGCCAGCTACCTCTTACAATCATAAGCAATAAGTCAGTTTAGTAAATTGACGAGTCTCCCTTCGACCAGGATGATGGGGTCAATGAAATTCACTAGTGACGAAACCTGAGAACAAACTGGACCAATATATATACCAAGAAACCAACAGACCCGTGCTTTCACAAGATTCTCACAAACAAGGTGGTTTAAGATTTTTGGATGAATTAATTCTTTTACCAATTAAAAAGCATCATTGAAACCAAAGGAGTCGCAATTCATGAGAAAAAAGATTTTTGTTCCAATAGTGTGCTGCCTATAGAGGAACTCTTAACATTATATAAATTCCAATTACAACAGATTCAGGACCTTAAGAATCATTTTCAAGCTAATGTGCTTGTATTATTCAAACAAATTGCTCAAAAGTCAATCATAAACCATCCTTAAACAAAACGTAGTCCATAAAATTGTCTGAAGAATCCAAAGGTAAAGTTATACTATTACCGTTTCATCTTGGTCCTTATCTGCAAGTTGAATCATATAATCTAGGGCCATCATAAACCCAGCTTCCATCTCATCAACTCTTTTCCCGATAACTCCATGTGCAGCCAATTCGACAGCCACCTTCTCAGAAGCGTCATCCATGTTCAGGTCTTCCAACTTTAATCCCATACAGATATTTGAACCATCAATAAAAAAATAAAAAAATTCTGAATTTTGCTACCATAATAATAGTGAAAAAAAGGAGTGAAGAACTTACAAGGGTGATCATCTCTTGGAGGACAGAAATGACCTGCTCACCTCCTTTGATAATAATTTCATGTTGAGAAAGGTCTGGTTTGTTATCCCAATCTTGTTGGGTTCTTCTACTTGTACTTTCTTCTTGTACATTTGATTCCTTGTCTGAATAACCCCCACCCACCTCATAACTGGCACACAACACCAGTAACTGCTGCTTTTTCTTGGCCTGCTTAAGTTGCCGCTGCTGATAATGGTTGTAGGGAAAGGATGTGAATGGAAGTGAAGGGGAAATGAGAAGTTTCTTACTAGAAGAGAGAGCGGTGTGTGGCAAAGAGGAAGGGAAACTGTTGAAGCTGCTCTGCAACATTTTTGCTGGTTTCTTAGGTGGTTTGGGTTTTGGCAGATTGGATTAAATTCAGGTAAGTAATTTGAAAAAAAAATAATAATCCTTCAAAGATTAAAAAAAACGCCGTCTGTGGGAATCGAACCCACGACCACATGGTTAAAAGCCATGCGCTCTACCAGCTGAGCTAAGACGGCTTGGACGTAAAGCTCCATTATATGGAACTATAGATATAATATTAGTCCACAGTTAATTTTAAATAGCCCTTGTAGTTTATTAAAATGAATTAGTTAGTCCACATACTACGAAAAAGAATACAAAATATAATTAGTGATAATTTCGTCTCTTTACCATTTATTAAGAGTTGAGTTTTCAACCGATTAGTTGTTTCTTTTAAAAATATCCTTTTTTCTCATTTTATTATAAAAGAAATGATAATAATAGTAGAATCGAAGAAACAAATGATAGAAAAAAGAATTTACTATAAAATAAAGTGAATACAAAAAATAACAACTCCAAATAATTCTTTCAATCTCTATAAAATATTTATACATAAAATAATGAACAATCAAACCTATTTATAGACTTCAAGATTAGAAAAAAAAATTGAAAGAGATTATGAACCATTAAAGGTGTATAGATAATTGAATCAATTGCATCACCCTTTCAATTTCTCATATTAAATGGTAAATTGAACCAGATTAAGAATAATGAGTGGTTGGAATATGAAATGGATATTCATTATTTCATAACACTCTCCATGAATGTCCATTGTATAAGAAACATGCCTTGTTAAACCTTATTAGAAAAAAAACCTAGTGGAAAAAAATCTTATTAAAGGAAAAATAGTATAATATTCTTTGTACATATTAATCTTTATGATGGACTTCTCCTATTGAAAACATCATTTAAGATCTTTAAGATCACACGTCTCTTATGAACCATTTTCTTAAAAACTATGATAAGTAATGCCTTAGTGAATAAGTCCATGCCTTTCAATTTCTCATTGAATGATGAATTGAATCACATTAAGAATAATTAGTAGTAGAAATATAAAATGGATATTGATTAGTTAATAACTCTCGGATTGAATGTCTATTATATAAAAAACATCCTCGTTAAAACCTTAATAGAAAAAACTCGGTAGGAAAAAATCCAAGTGATAAAAAAAGAGTACAACTTTTTTTATACACATTAATGTTGGGCTCCCCTTGAAAACATAATTTAAGATCTTTAAGACCACACCTCTCTTATGAATCATTTTCTTAAAAGCTGTGATAGGTAATGCCTTAGTGACGTCGTATTGTCACTTTGATGTATTCTTTTTTAATTGAATTATATAAGCATTATTATCTTCATATGATATTGTTGAAACTTTTTTACGAGTAGATAAACTATATGTCTCTCGGATATAATGGGTCATTAATCTTAGCCAAAGACAATCTTGACTTTCTAAGGAGAGCAGAGTGTAGCTCCTTCCAATATAGTATTTGCTATTAAAGCACGTAAGATGATAAAAAAAAGGGTGTATGGCTTATTTAACATATGTGAAGGAGACGGATAATAATGTGGTCGGTTTGGACTAAGTCCTAATCGTTAGGAAGTTTTTCGATGTATTTTCATATGAACTGCCTGTTTTACCTTCGGATAGAGAAAGAGAATTTGGTGTTGAATTGCTCTCGGACATCGAACCTATTCCTATACCTCCATATTGCATGACTCTAGTTGAATTGAAGGAGTTAAAGGTTCGAGCTTCAAGACTTTTTAGATAAGGGTTTTATCCAACCTAGTGTTTTCTCATGGGATGCTCCAGTTCGTTTGTTAAGAAAAATGATGGGAGTTTGAGGCTATGTATTAACTACCATCGGATGAATAAAGTAACTATGAAGAATAAATATCTATTATCAAGAATTGATGACTCGTTCAACCAGCTTACAAAGTACAAGGTATTTTTCCAAATTTGATTTGAGATTTGGGTATCATCAATTAAGGATTAAAAGGGAGGACATTTTTAAAAGCTGCTTTAAGGATGTCGTATGGCCATTATGAATTTTTTGGTGATGTCATTTGCCTTACTAATGCTCCAACAGACTTTTATGGACTTAATAAATAAGGTGTTTCGTCGCTTCCTTGATAAGTTTGTGATGGTATTTAGTGATGATATTTTGGTTTACTCTAAGAATGAGAGGGAGTATGAAAATCATCTAAGGCGAATGTTATAGACACCGAGGGATCATAAGTTGTATGATAAATTTTATAAGTGTGAGTTCGATTTAAGAATGTGGCATTATTAGGACACATTTTGTCTAAAGAAGGGATTGTCATAGACACCGAAGAAAGTAAAGGCATTAACCCATTAGTCGAGACCCATTTTAGTGACTAAGATTCATAGCTTTTTGGATTTGGTCGGGTATTATTGAATGTTTGTGCAAGACTTCTCAAGAATTATATTATTGTTGACTAAGTTGGCATAGAAGAATGTAAGGTTTCGGTGATTAGATAAGTGTGAGGAGAGCTTTTAGCAACTAAAGACATGTTTGACCACGACACTAGTCCTTACCTTACCCTCAAATAATGATGGATTTTTAGTGTTTTGCAATGCCTCGAGATTAAGGTTAGGATGTGTATTGATGTATCATGATAGAATAGTAGCTTATGCTTTGAGGTAGCTAAAAAAATATGAATAAAACTACCCTACACATGACTTAGAATTGGCAACGAGTGGTTTTCACTTTAAAAATTTAGAGGCATTCTTTGTATGGAGAGACTTGTGAGATATACATAGATCATAAGAGTTTGAAGTATATTTTTTATCGAAGGATTTAAATTTGAGGCAAAGGAGGTGGATGAAACTACTTAAAGATTATGATTGTACTATTTTATATCACTCGAGTAAGGCTAATGTTGTGGTCGATGCCTTGAGTAAGAATTCAACTAGGAGTTTAACTCATTTATTAGAAGAGAAATAGCCATTGGCATCAAAAGTGAATGGATTACAAGATTCTAGAATGGTGTTTATACTTAGTAAATCGGGTGTTCTTTTGGCCTATATAGAAGTTAAGGTAGTTTTGATGGATTAGATCTAAAAGACCCAAATGAATGATGAAGAAATACAATAGATTTTCACTAAGATGGAAGAGGAAAAAGGTTTAGGTTTTAAAGTAAATGGTAGAGGTACTCTATGGTTTCATTGAAGGTTGTGCATGCCAAAAAATCCAAAACTAAGAGAACAGATTTTGAGAAAGGCTCACAATATGGCCTATTTTGTACATTCTAGCTATGTCAAGATGTATAATGATCTTTGTAAGCACTATTAATTGATCAAAATGAAGAAAGATTTTATGAAGTTTGTTTTAAGGTATTTGACTTATCAACAAGTGAAATATGAGCACTAGAGACTAGCGAAATGTTACAAGAGTTGCCACTATCGGAGTGAAAGTGGGAGAGAGTGACAATGGATTTTGTGATGGGTTTGCCTCGAACCCAAGGAGATTATGATTTGATTTGGGTTATTATGGATGGATTAACTAAGTCTATCCATTTTTTATATGTAAAGAGTAAGAGGCTCTTGGTATGAGATTAGACTTTAGTATGGCATTTCATCCTCGAACAGTTGGTCGGTCGAAAGAATGATTCGGACCTTAGAAGATATACTCAAAGCATTTGTGATGGATATAAAAGATAGTTGCGATTATCACTTACCATTGATCGAATTCTCATATAATAATAGTTATCGCCGAGTATCGGTATGACACCGTATGAATCGTGTATAGCTAAAAATTTAAATTGTTAATATGTTAGGCGAAGTCAAGGAAGGAACCCTTAGGGCCAAAGTTGATTCAACTCACTACTAAGAAAATGAAGTTGATTTAAGAATGCCTTAGGATTGCATATAGTAGATAAAAGAGTTATGTAGACCTTGAGAGAAGACATATTAAGTTTTAAAATGGTGACTATATGTTCTTTGAGTTTATCTAATATAAGAAGTAATCTGATTTTAGTAAGAAAAAAAGCCGAGCTCAAGGTATATCGAACCGTTTTAGATCATTGGTCGGGTTGGAGTAGTGGCTTATAAGTTGGCATTGCTATCATAGGTTTTAGTGTACATTTGATGTTTCATTGTTCCATGCTAAAAAAATATGTATCCGACCCATCTCACATCTTAAAATCATAATTGGTGGATTTAAATTCTGATTTGTCATATAAGGAGCAATAGGTGGGAATAGTAGACCATCGGATTAAGAAATTAGATCACAAGGAGATTATATCTCGTTAAGGTAATTTGGAGAAACCAGATCGCTCGAAAAAGCCACATGTGAGACTAAGAAGGAAATGAAAAGGACATATCCTCACTTGTTCACTTATTATTAAGAAACAATTAGAATTAAATTTAAAAAAAAAATTCTTAAGAGAGAAAGAATGCAATAACTCGACCTAAAATGATATTTAAGTTAAAAAAATCAAGCTAGGGTATAAAAAGAGGACAACTACTGTCTCTCTCTATTTTTTTCTTTTCTTTCTCATTCTCATGTAACTTTCTCTCTCTAATTTTCTTCGAATTCTCGCCTTCAAATCCTAAGCTAAAAACTTATTAAATTAGCTTTAAAAAACCCATAAACAAGTAGATTTAAGTTAGCTAAATTGAAGTTTAGAAAGCTTAGAGAGTGGGATTGAATTGGGGATTGAAGAGCAAATTGTCAAAGGGAAGAAATTTTATCATTTGTTCTTTAATTGAAATTTGTATATATATATATATATATATATATAATTATTGAGGATTTTGAAGTTAAATTGTATTGGGTATGTTGATTGAATGAATAATTGAGTTAAATTGATGTTAGGGTTTTAAGATCCATTTGGAGAAAAAGTTGATTAAGTGATTCTAATAGGTTAAATGATGTTCAATTGCTTTGGATATATGATTTATGAGATTGAATTGAAGTTGACTCGAATAAATTTGATTAATTGAGAGGTTAAAGATGATAAATAGTAAAAAATATGAAATTTGGGTTTCAAGTTAAAAA